ATTTTTCGATTTTACGATTCGATTTTTTGATTACTCGATTTTTATATTTTTTAGTTTTTCAGAATTTTTCAACGTTTTCTTTTTCGACTTTTTAAATTTTAGACTATCCGATTTCACATTTTTTTTATTTTTCCGTTCTTCGATTTTTGTATTTTTCAATTTTTCCTTGTATGTTCTATTTTTTGAATTTTTCGGTTTTTCGTTCCGATTTTTTAATTTGTCAATTTTTTGAATCTTTCTCTCCGCAATTTTTTTTAATTTTAAATTTTCAAATTCTCAATTTTTCGATTCTTGAAATGTTAGATTTTTTTAGTTTTATATTATTAAATTTTTCGATTTTCCTATTTTTCTTTTTTTCGAATTTTTAAATTTTAGGTTTTTCACTTTTTTGTTGTTTGGATTTCTCGGTCTTTGAATTTTCTATTTTTCGGTTTTTATGTTCCGATTTTTAAATTTTTTAGTTTTTAATTTTTCGATTTTATGCCGTTCCAATTTCCCAATTTTTCTATTTTTCGACCACTCGACATTTCGATTTTTCGACTTTTCAATTTTGATATTTTTTAATTTCTTGATTTTTCAGTTTTTCTAATCAATTTTTCGATTTTTGTAATTTTTCCCAATTTTTCTACATTTTTCAAATTGTTCTATTTATCGATATTTAAATTTTAAATTTTTCAATTTTCCGATTTTCGACTTTTCGGCGTTTCGATTTTTAGATGCTTGGAATTTTCAATTTTTGGATGATTTCCCGCTTTTTCAGCATTTCGGTTTTAAGATTGTTCGTTTTGGCGATTTCTCGATTTGTTTCTGTCTTTGAGTCTTTTGTTTTTATTTTTTGACTTTTTGATTTTTACATTTTTCGATTTTACGATTCGATTTTTTGATTACTCGATTTTTATATTTTTTAGTTTTTCAGAATTTTTCAACGTTTTCTTTTTCGACTTTTTAAATTTTAGACTATCCGATTTCACAATTTTTTTATTTTTCCGTTGTTCGATTTTTGTAATTTTCAATTTTTTCTTGTTTTTTTTGATTTCTCGATTTTTCAGATTTTGGAATTTCTCCATTTTTCAACATTTCAATTTGGGAGAATTAATTTTCGATTTCTGCGTTTTCCAATTTTTCGATATTTTAGTTTTCATATTTTTTGATTTTTCGAATTTTCGAGGGAGTAAATGGATAAATTTTGATTAACGATTTATCATGCTTACAATAAGCCTAAAACGTCTGCAAGATTTCTGACCACCAGAGTTAGCAGTTTCAAAACTAATTACAAAATGTTTCCATACATTTTTTTTTTAATTTGGAATCAAGACGGATTCATAAACTACACGTGTAGGAGTATATTATTTTATAAAAATTTCGATGTCTCGATTGTTCGATTGTTCAATTTTTCGGTTCCTCGAGTTTTTGATTTGTTTTTTTTTTTAATTTAAAAGTTTTCATTTTTTCAATTTTTTTTTTCGATTTTTCAATTTATACCATTTCAATTCCTCGATTTTTCGATTTGTCGATCCCTCGACAATTGATTTCTCAATTTTCGATCTGTCGGAATTTCGATTTCTCGATGTTTCAATTTTTTAATTTCTCGATTTTTAAGTTCTTCGATTTTTTTTATTTTTTATATTATTCCATTTTTCAAGTCTTCAATTTTTTGCGTATCTAAGTTTTCGATTTGTCAATTTTTCGACTTCTCGGGTTCTCGATTAATCAATTTTTTCATTTTTCCGCTTTTCGATTTCCTGATTTTCCGACTTTTCTATTTTCCCATTTTTCAATTTCGATTTCTCATTTTTATTTTTCAATTTTTCGATTCTTCAATTTTTCGGTTGTTAGATTATCCTCTTTTCTGATGTTCCAATTTTTCAACTTTTCGATTTTCCACTTGGATTTTACAATTTTGAGATTTTTTATTTTTTCGATCTCAACTTTTCAATTTTTCGACTTTTCAATTTCTCGTTTTTTCGATTTCAATTTTTTGATTTTCTCATTTCGCGATTTCTCAACTTTTAGATGTTTTAATTTTTCAGTTTGCGAATTTATTTATTAGTTTCTCGAAATTTCAATTTTGAGATTCTTCAGATTTTTTGATTTTTCAATTTTTCAAACTTTCAATTTCTCGATTTTCCATTTTTCGATTGCTCAATTTTTCGATATTCCATTTTTAGGATTTTTCGGTTCTTCAATTTCTCGTTTTCTCAAATTTTCATTTTCCATTTTTTTTTATTTCTCGATTTTCCGATATATCAGTTTTACAATTTTTCGATTTTTATATTTTCCTATTTTTCAAATCTTTAATTCTTTGCGTTTCCAAGTTTTCAATTTGTACATTTTTCGAATTCTCGACTTCTCGACTAATAAAATTTTTCATTCTTCGATTCCTGTTTTTTGATATTTCAGTTTTGGGGCTTTTGTAGTTTTTTTATTCTTCCATTTTAAAATTTTTCAACTGCTTGAGTTGCCAATTTTTCAATTTTCCGATTTTTCAAATTTTCAGTTTCTCATTTTCGTTTTTCAGTTTTTCGATTCTTCAGTTTTTCGATTTTTAAATTTTCCAATTTTTTGATGTTTCAATTTTTCAACTTTTCGATTTCCCAATTTGTCAACATTTTAGTTTTGGGATTTTTCTATTTTTCAATTTTTTGATTTTTCGATTTCTCGATGTTTCAATTTTTCCATTTTCCGATTTTTAAATGTTCCCATTTTCAACTATCCGATTTTTCAATTTTCCGACATTTCAATTTTGGGATTTTTCAATTCTTCGATGTTTCAGTTCCCCAATTTTTCTGTTTTTCAATTTTTTGTTGTTTCGATTTGTTCATCTTTCGAATTCTCGAATTCTCGTTTTTAGATTTTTCGGTTATTGAATTTATCAACTTCTAAAATTTTTGATTTTTGGATTTTTCAATTTTTCGATTTCTGAATTTATCGAAATTTCAATGTTTCGATTTGTCAATTGTTCAATTTATCGAGTTTTTGCTTTATGGATTTATTTAATTTTAAAGTTTTTATTTTCTAATTTTTTAGTCTTTCGATTTTTTGATTTTGTGCCATTTCATTTTCTCCATTTTTCGACCTCTCGACATTCGACATTTCGACTTCCCGATTCATTCTATGTATGTGTTAGAAATATCATGTAAATGATTTGTCTGAATACCCCCACCAACAATAGAATGACGTCATATCCAAATTTTATAACTCCTCCACTTGTGGTTTACGATTCCCTATTGAATTTTATCGTAGACATCGAGATATATGGAAAAAAAATGTTGCCTAATTTTAGATTTTTCGGGTTTTCTATTTTCCGATTTCTCGAGTTTTCAACTGTCGATTTCTCACTTATTTTATTTTTCAATTTCTCGATTTTCCGATTTTTCAATTTTTTATTCTTCAAATGCTCGATTTTTAATTTTTCCATTTTCAAATTTTCAATTTTCAATATCAGTTTTTAGAATCCTAGATGATTCGAATTCAACTTTTCCATCTTTCGACTTTTCGATTTCTCGTTTTTATGATTTTTAATTTCTTCATTTTTCCATTCATTCAAAACTAATTACAAAATGTTTTCATACATTTTTTGTTTAATTTGGAATCAAGACGGATTCATAAACTACACGTGTAGGAGTATATTATTTTATAAAAAAAAAATTTCACATTGTTGGTAGGGATGATCAGACAGAGTTTGGTTAGGTTTTTTCCATCATCGACATAGACAGACAAACAGACGAAAACGGGGGACGTATTTTTTCGTTCTCTAGATATAACTAAACGTCGAGAAAACATAAAAGTGGCTACAATACTTGCTATAATAATTAGATAATTAACAAAATGACGTCATCGATTTTTGAGAGACATGAATCGACGAATTGGAAGCTTCTACGGTCCACGATAACCTTAAATTACGGTTAAAATTGTCGAAGCGATCGGTTCCGAGCTTCGAGATTATCTCTCTGATAAATATGTAACAAACGAGGGAAACGAAAATTTAAACTTTCATATTCTACGAGCTGTGAAGCGCCACCCAATAAACGAAATTTGATATTTGCTAAAATGACCCAGAATATCGCTTTTGCCGACTGACAGTGAAATAAAACAGCGAAATAAAAACACATCGGATTAGAACCGAATAAAACTCGCAACACCGCTTTCATAATTTCAAACGATAATTTTGTTAATAATAAATTAATATAATATATTGGCACATTTATTCACATATTTTACACAATTTGGACGTCAATTTTTATTTATAATAGGGTCAACGGCTAAATGTTGTTAGTTGTTAATTGAACATCATAAAGAATTTGCTAACAAGATGCCGAAAGTCTTAATGACTTGAGAATTTAAGCCATAAATATCACAGCTATTCGAGGGGTTTAGGGTGTTTATTCAGGTTAAAACTTCCGCTTCACTTACAACAATAAAATAGAAGAAAGTCAGTGGAGACTTAATAAATTTTGTACTCGTGTTTCAAAATATTTAACTTTGGCTTTGGTAAAGCAGTTTTGTAAACAGCGGCTTAATTTTCATTGTACTTAGTTCAACAAGACATCTTTTATCTTCTGTTACGAGATACTTCATTTAAAACTTACTCTGATCTAACCTTCTCGAACAACTACAAAGTCAAGGAAATATGAATTTAGACATTTGCCAAATGGCGCTATTACAATATTTCCCTTAGCTATCGCCCCGAGCTAAAAACCAGCGGAATAATGTTCAAGTTAAACCGTTCCGACTCACATAGAGAATGTTTTAGTTGTCATGAATTCAACCTCCAGCCAGTATCTACATTACGAGGTCAAAGCTTTATCCAGAAAGTCACGTACCCTGTCAGAAAAACATATTTAAAAACATGAAGCTGTCGCCCCGTCTGCGTCAAAATTTAATTACGAACCCGCGACGCTGACAATTTACAAAAAATAAAAAAACAATAAGAAAAATTGGCCCCCACTCTCGCGATCGGTGTCACACTCCCCCTCCGCAAGCATCAGCAATCTCCTCACCACGTCGATCAGCTGCGAAAGTTTCAACTTGATGCAGACCCTGAGGACGTCCGAGGTGTTGACCACCGGTCTCACTAGCTTGTTGTAGTTGGAGAGGAGGTCGTCGTAGAGGCGTTTGGCATCAGGGTTCCCGGCCACAGCACCGTGCACTACCAGGGCCGACAGCAGCCAGGCTCGCAGCGTCTCGGCGGCAGAAGGAGGCATCCCGACGCGGCACCGCGGCACTCTGGAGCCACACTGCACACACGACGCTCGATTCGGACAGACGATGCCTCTGCCACCCCGCCCGAGCGCGCCGAAACGACGTGGACGTGGACGAGGCATTTCGCCGGAAGGATTAAGATGCTGAATTATCTTTTTCTAATTGAGAGTGTGACCCGGGCGGCCGGAGGTGAGGGGAGGGGATGGAATTTGGGATTTGGGACGCGGGCCAGGAAGTGAAAGTGGACTTATAGTTGAGGGATGGGGTGCAGTAGGGTGGATTGGCCGGGGTAAAGGGGTGGTGGACGGTTGAAGGGGTTGATGGGTTGTTTAAGGGTGGTTCTGGACGCGTTATCTCTCACATTTGTATTGTTATTTTAATAATAACGATTTCTACAGTAGGTAATATTATTTTATAGCCACGTCAGGTCACAGAAAGCCAGCTGAAATTAGATCAGGGCAGATCCAATCAAGTCAGGTCAGATCCAACCACGTCAGGTCAGATTTCTCTAAATCAAATCTAACGGGGTCACATCAGGTCAGGTCAAATGAAGTCAGATCAAACGTCGGGTCAAGCCAGAACAGGCCAGGTTTGTATGAATCACATTTAACTAGGTTAGATCAAATCAAGTCAAATCAAATCAGATAAAGTGTGATCAAATCAGGTCAGGCCAAGTCATGTTACTTATTTACAAAAATAACACAGGCCTGCAAAATTTCGATTTTTGGTTGGGCTTTGAAAAATTTTGGGTAGACATGTTTAGTATAGACCTACACATTCCAAAAGTATCATCAGTTTTTTTCTATCACGTAAGATTTTTAAACCACAGGGCAAAACTAAAAATACTTAGAATGAATACTATTTTAATGTTAACTCATTTAATTGACATATTTATAATATTATATTTTAGTGATATTTAAAGTTACGACTTCTTTCTCATTGTACGTTTTCGTTTTTTACCACTTTAGTATATGTGAATATTTGTCAAAATGCGGTTTAAAAACTGAACAATTTTCGGTGAAATTTAGAAAAGAGAATCTCAGAAGTGGTTCCAAATTAAAATCTAGTAAATCAAAATTTATACTAAAAGAAACCCAAAATTTTGAAAAACCTTAAAATCAAGTATCAAGAACTTAAAAATTTCAAAACGACACTTTTTGGAAATTTTTAAAAATGAAAAAACTATGAACACAAAAAAAATGGCTTCATAAAAATCCACTTTTTAAATTTTGAAATTTATTCGAAATGTATTTATCCTTTGTGACTACTCTTAATATTGTTCAGTCATTCACGACAATTAGTTTTATCTCAACGAATACTAGCCCCTCCCATCCGAATTCTGTTTTCTTAGAGGGTATGTAATTTGCCAAAATCAGTCTTATCTCAGCAAGTACTAGTACCGCCCACCCACCCTCTGTTTTCTTAGAAGATATGTTATCTGCAACAATCAGTTTTAACTTAGCAAGGACTAGCTCCGCCCCCCACCCTGTTCTCATTCTAACGATCTTATTTCTATTCAGTATAAGATCCAGTTTTGATTCAGACTAGATAAAATGAATCAGTGAAATAGAGGCGGGGTGGGTGGGCGGAGTTAGTTATTATCTCTGCTTTTGTAGAGTGGGAATGGGAACTAATAGAAGCCATTTTACGTCTTCATTGAATGATTTGATTTAAATGTACAAAATTGAGGCAAAATAGAGACCATTTCCAGGGGAATTTATGGTTTTAGTTTCGCAACTCACTAGGATGCTTTTATACGTTAACATTATTCCAATAAATAAAAGTTAAGTAATAGTAAAATAAAATGTTGTGCGGTACTGCTAATTTTTCTTAAAATGTAAGCATATTTTTTTGTAATTGAACTATACGTGATGGAAAAAAAATAAGTACAGATATATTAATTGTATGTGATCCTTATCACAAAATACTAACAAGAATTCAAACCCCAAATTCATGCCGGCCTGTGTAATTATTAGGTAATTATTAGGCCGCACCAATTTTCCGATTTTTGAATTTTTTGTTCCGATTTTTTGCTTTCTCGATTTCTCGATGCTTCAATTTTTCGATGTTTCTATTTTTCGATTTTCCTATTTTTGGATGTTCAAATTTCTTAAATTTTTGGACCTCCAGTTTGTTGCCATTTCAATTTTGGGATTTGATTTCTAGATTTTTCAGTTTCCTCAATTTTTTATTTTTCATTTTTTTGATTCTACGATTTCTGGGTCTTTAGATTTTTAGACTTCTCGATTTTAGATTTTGTCGGTTTCTCAGTTTTTCATTTTTTTAATTTTTGATTTTTCGATTATTCAATTTTGCGAGTTTTCGAGTTTTTGCTTTATCGATTCTTTTAAGTGTAAAATTTTCATTTTTCAATTTTTTGATTTTGTGCCATTTCAATCCCTCGATGTTTAGAACTCTCGACATTAGATTTCTCGATTTCTTGATATTTCTCGATGCTGCAATTTTTCGTTATTTGGATTTTTTGATTCATCGGTTTTTCGATTTCCCAATTTATCGACATTTCAATTTTTGGGATCCTTCAATTTCTAGATTTTTCAATTCCTCGATTTTTCTATTTTTCAATTTTTGGATATCACGATATAACGATCTTTAGATTTTGCGAATTCTTGATTTTATATTTATAGGTTTTTCGATTTTTCAATTATTAAAATTTTTGATTTTTTTATTTTTATATTTTTCGAATTCTGGATTTATCGAGATTTCAATGTTCCGATTTTTCGATTGATCAATTTTTCAAGTTTTTTATTTATCAATTTTTTGTTTCAAACTTTTCATTTTTTCAACTTTTAATTTTTCGATTTTTCTACTTCTGGACGTTTCGCTTTCTCGATCTACCGATGTTTCGATTTCTCAATTGTTGTCAAATTTTGTATGTGGTAGAAATATCATGTAAATGGTAAAACGCTAACCAAAAATTTGTCTGATCACCCCCACCAACAATAAAATAGCGATGACGTCATCTCCAAATTTGACTAGAGTAAATGTTATTTAAATTTTATAACTCCTCCACTTGTGGTTTATGATTCTTTGTTACATTTTTTCGTAAACATCGAGATTTTTGGAAAAAAAATCAAGATTGTAAAACATTTTTTCGATTTCTCGATTTGTAAAGTTTTCCATTTTTTAACTTTTCGATTTCTCATTTTATCGATTTTCAATTTTTTGATTTTCCCATTGCTCAAGTTCTCAAATTTCCGATGTTTTAATTTTTCAATTTTTCTATTTACCTATTAGTTTTTTCGACATTTGAGTTTTGAGATTCTTCAGTTTTTTGATTCTTTAATTTTTAGATTTTTTAATTTTCCGATATTTTAGTTTTAGGATTTTTCAGTTCTTCAATTTCTCGTTTCTTCAAATTGTCGATTTCCTGTTTTTTTTTGATTTCTCGATTTATCAATTTTCAGTTGTTCAATTTTTCGAATTTTATTTTTTCTATTTTTCAAGTCTTCAATTTTTTGGGTTTCTAAGTTTTCGAATTCCCGACTTCACGATTAATCAATTTTTTCATACTTCGACTTTTCGATTTCCCAAAATTTTCGATTTTCAATTTTTTGATTTTCCAATTTCTCGATTTGTCAACTTTACCATATTTCGATTTCTCGATTTTTCGATTCCTCTGTTTTTTCATTCTTCAAGTTTTAGATATTTCAACTTATGGATTTTTCAATTTTTCAATTTTTCAATTTTCCGATTTTTTAAATTTTCGATTTCTCATTTATGTTTTTCAATTTTTCGATTCCTCAATTTTTTGGTTTTTAAATTATCCTATTTTTTAATGTTCCAGTTTTTCAATTTTTCGATTTTCCAATTCGATTTTGGGATTTTTTAATTTCTCGATCTCAACTTTTCCATTTTTCGACTTTTCGACTTCTCGTTTTTTCGATTTCAATTTTTTCCATTTGCCGATTTCTCAACTATTCGATGCTTAATTTTTTCAGTTTTTCTATTTATTAGTTTTTCGAAATTTCAATTTTGAGATTTTTCAGTTTACTGGTTTTTCAATTTTTAGATTTTTTAATTTCTCAATTTTTCAAATTTTCAATTTCTCGATTTTCCATTTTTCGATTGCTCAGTTTTTCGATATACCAGCTTTATGATTTTTTAATTCGTAATCATTTTTTTTTAATTTCTCGATTTTCCGACACATCAGTTCTACAATTTTTCAATTTTTCGATTTTTATGGTTCTCCATTTTTCAGGTCATCAATTTTTTGCGTATCTAAATTTTCGATTTGTCGATTTTTCCAATTCTTGACTTCCCGATTAATCAATTTTTTCATTCTGCGACTTTCGATTTCTCGATTTTTCGATTCTTTGTTTTTTAATATTTCAGTTTTGAGATTTTTCAGTTTTTCTGATTCTTCAATTTTTAGTTTTTTCAACTTCTCGATTTTCCAATTTTTCAATTTCCCGATTTTTCAAATCTTCGATTTCTCATTTATGTTTTTCAATTTTTTGATTTTTAAATTTTTCTTTTCGGATGTTTCAATTTTTCAACTTTTCGATTTCCTGATTTGTCAACATTTCACTTTTGGATTTTTTTAATTTCTTGACTTTTCAATTCTACAATTTCTCAATCAAATTTTTCGGTTTTTCAATTTTTCAGTTTTCAAAATTTTTTATTTTTCGATTTTTCAATTTTTCAGTTTTTAAAATTTTTTATTTTTCAATTTTTCGAAATCTGATTGAGTCAGGTCAGGTCCAACCACGTCAGGTCAGATTTCTCTAAATCAAATCTAACGAGGTCAGACAAGGTCAGGTCAGAACAGGCCAAGTCAGGTCAGATCAGATCAGATAAAGTAAGGTCAAATCAGGTCAGGCCAATCATGTTATTTATTTACAAAAATAATTATTAGGTCAGGTTAGGTAGGATCAGTTTTCGGATTTTTCAATTTTTCGTTCCGATTTTTTGCTTTCTCCATTTCTCGATGCTTCAATTTTCGATTTTTCGATTTTCCTATTTTTAGATGTTCTAATTTTTCAAATTTTTGGT